TTTGAATTGGCTATTATTAAGTTTTATTAGTTTTTTAGGATACAAGATGCTTCCTACAAAACCAGAATGGGAATCTTTTCCTAAAATTTCATGGYGATATCTTGAACACTGAGGAAGTTATGAGCAAAATTAGAAAACAGCCAGGTGAAATGGTCACAAAGGCCCCATTGGTGAACTGCAGCAAGAAAACATGAGCTGATTTCACCTAAACAAACATCAATAACTTCCCTCATAMTTCAGATCATCACATGATTTTGGTGTCATTTTGTATGGTTTGAAATGTTCTTTTGGAATCCGCTGTCAGRTTTAATATTGGTRTAGGATTGAAAATTTATCCACATCCCTACTAGCTGTGTTCATTCAAAATTATTTATTACCCAAAGATGAACAGAAAAATACATTTTGTACACAGTTCATGCAAATGTAATATCTARAAAAAATATTACCTACAGCCTGCTCTGATGATAAAAATTTGTAGTCTGGTGGCTTAATATTCTAAATCCCAGCTTAATAGGGTTCAAAGTAATACAATTACTAAAATGATCATACTTCAATACCATTATTTAGTATGTATTTATATTTAATTTAAATGTAAAGAAGAAGGCAATGATTGTGAAAAGGGGATATAAGCGATAGAGAAAAAGATAGGAAGTCTTAGTTAATAATTTTTATAGTACAAGAATGTACCTTCTGGTAAGGCCAGTGTTAGAGGTTTTTTTAAATGAAGTTAATAATTGCTCTTGAGACTGAACTGTTCTAGCGCTCTTGTTATTTGTTTRACTCTCCACCAGGTTCTATAACATTTAGTTGTTTCTGTTCAGTCCTGCTAAAAAGACAAACAAATGGTAGGAGTCCAATTTCTTGTTCTGTGAAAAACGTAAAAATTGAAACGTAATAAATTGCTGCAGTCTGTGTGCCACAGATGTGTTATTTATTTTTGTTTCCACTGGGTAGTTTCCTCTGTAYGAATTGTTATTTTRTTTTGTTTATTTTTAAGAGGACAAATCAACACGATGTGCAGGAGCTGAACAGGATCCTGTTCAGTGCTTTGGAGCACTCTCTTGTGGGCACCAGTGGCAGTACGTTTATCCACCGCCTTTACCACGGCACCATCGTCAACAGCATCGTCTGCAAGGAGTGTGGAACCGTCAGCCAGAGACAGGTGTGTCCTCGTCCTGTTCARATCCTGCTGGCCCCATCAGAAATAGTCCTGTTTAAAGCAAACAGTGTGGATCTGGCGCCTGGAGCCTTTTTCCTGTTTATGTTTTGTGTTTATGTGGACTGCAGGAGGACTTCCTGGACCTGACAGTGTGTGTGTGTGGCGTGTCGAGTCTGGAGGAGGCTTTATGGAACATGTTTGTGGAGGAAGAGCTGTTTGAGGGCAATAATTTGTATCACTGTGCTCAGTGTGACAGACTGGTCACTGCTGCCAAGGTCAGTGGCACCTTCCAAGTTGTATTTCCACAGTAACAAAAGATTCATTACAGTAAACTCGAAAACAAAATCAGTTTTTTTTATGTGTCCACATTTCAGTCTGCCAAGCTGAAGCAGCTGCCTCCATTTATGACAATGTCATTGCTGAGATTCAGCTTTGACTTCACGAAATTAGAGCGGTACAAAGAGACGGGACGCTATAGTTTCCCCCTCACCATCAATATAAGACCTTTTTGTGAACAGGTTTGTTCTCTTGTTTTTTTTTACACATTAAGGGCTTTTGATGGGACCACAACCTTTCACACAGTTTGAAATCTCTTTCCCCTCGCAGACCGATGGAGAGGACTCTGATTTCACCTACGAGTTGTTCTCCATCATTATTCATAAGGGAGGCTGCTACGGAGGCCATTACCACGTTTACATTCGAGACATTGATCAACTTGGCCAATGGGATCCACCGGTGAGGGAAAATATTTTAATTTAAATGATGCTTTTCAGAATGTGATGAACTTTAACATATATTTTGTTCCATGCATAAAAAAATGTTTACAAATAAGCAGCACCTCTGTGTAGGGGTTCACAGTAAACATGTGTACTGTGACAGATCTGTACACGTTTCAGACCTGAGCTAGACAAGATACAGTAAATGTWTTGTCCCCTCGCCCATTTAGAATCAAGGTGGTGATGAGGTGTATGTGCACAGAGATAGGAACAAGGATTTACCCAGAAATGTTTATTGGCTGGCTTACCTTGAAAGGTAAATTTAATAACGTTTTAAGAAAATTATTCATTGTATCGTAGAGACCRTACTGATAGGCTTGGAGGTGGTGTTGCAGTTTATGTTCACAAGAAATACTCACATTCTATAATAGAATTGTCAACTGAGTCTGAATCTCTG